GGGGGGGGGGGGGGGGGGGGGGGGGGGGGGGGGGATGGTATGCTGTGGGTTTCGCTCGAGGTGGGGAAGGGGCCTGGGACAGGTGGATTTAATGGTTACATAGCTTAAATTCTTTGTCGGTTGGCTAGGTCATGTGCTTTTGAAAAAGAGTAGGTGGACCGGTGATGTGCCGCGGATTCCCCGGAGTAGAGAAAAGGCTAAAGTACTGCTTGCTTCCGCAGTGCTTTTATAATGGAAATGGAGAGTGGCTCAGATGTTGTTTTTTAGGCAGCATTTGGAGGTGAAGTAGAGAAGGGGGACGAGAATACAAGTCAGGAGCTCGAGACAAGAACTGGAGACAGCAGCAAAGGGAAAGAGGCAACATAGCACTACAAAGAAAAGTAAATTAAAGGGAACTGAGCTTACGGATAAAAGCAAAATAATTGGCCAACGCACCGGCTGCGGTGTGAAGATGCGTTTTTTGCACAGTTCTTCGCAGTCTTTGTAGCTAACGGCGCCGGTTTTCCGGCAAATGCTTCTAGCTAAACAAATTAAGACTAGACGACAAAACTATCAGAAAACACTACCTTAAAATTTCAGCTTTCTAGCTTTCCTGGCTCCTGAGTTACCAACTTACTCGAGGACTTTCATAGGGCCGCACGTGAGTACGACGCATACCCGACATCTGGGTTTGAGCTCATTAATACCCATTTAGATGGGGAACATCCCTTCAAAACTTCAATCCTCTAGCTTTTCAGGTTCCCGAGTTAGCAACTTACTCGAAGAAAACTTTGGCGAGCCTATACGTGGGTACCATACATAGCCGGTGTCTGGGTTAGAGTTCATTAACACCTACGTCGACGGAGAATGCCCCCTTAAAATTCGAGTCCTCTGGCTTCTCAAGTTCCCGAGTTAACAAATTACCCGAAGAAAACTTTGGCAGGCCCGTACATGGGTATCATGCATACGCGGAGTCTGGGTTTGAGCTCAATGAAACTTAGTTAGACAAGAAAGATCCTCTTAAAATTCCAGTCCTCTAGCTTCTCAGATCCTCGAGTTAGCAACTTACCCGAAGAAAACCTTGGCAGGCCCGTACATGGGTACCACGCGAGCAAGAGCGCTCATTTTGAGGATTGGGGCCCGTACGTACATATAGATTAAGTTCCCAAAGTTTCAGCCCTATAGACTTTGTAGGTCTTGAAATGAAAAACCGTGACACACACACACACACACACACACATAGACAACCCCTCGTCAATATACGTTTTCTGCATTGCATAGCTGGAAAAAACGCATA